TTTAAAAATTTAGGGTGAGGTGGTGGGTGATGTATTATTTGCATTGTGATCTGGTAGTTACCTGGGGCTGCTATGAGAAAAAAGTACCCCAAGTGGTGGCTTTAAAGAACAGAAATGTATTTTCTCAAAGTTCAGGAGGCTACAAGTCCGAACTCAGGATGTGACTACAGGGAGGTCCTTCCTTGTCTATTTCAGCTCTTTGAAGCTGCAGCAATCCTTGGCGTTCCTGGGCTTGTAGAGCCGTCTGTCTCTGCTGTGTGTCTTCATATGGTGTCTCCCCTGGTGTTTATCTCTGGTCTCCTCTGTTCCTTTTATAACTCAGAAGTGACTAGGTTTACAGCCCATTCTACACTGGTAGGAACCCTGGTGGCGCAGTGGTTAAGAGCTCGGCTGCTTACCGAAAGGTTGGCAGTTCAACTCCACCAACTGCTCCTCGGAAACCCTACGGGACAGTTCTGTTCTGTTCTGTAGGGTTGCTGTGAGTCGGAATCGACTCAACGGCAACAGGTTTGGTTACTTTTGGTTCTATGACCTCATTAACATAACAAAAAAATACCCCTTATTTCTGAACAGGGTCATATTTACAGGTACAGGGATAAGGATTTCAACACATATTCTTGGGGGACACAGTTCAGTCCCTAACAGCTTGCTCTTCCTTTGTTTCAAAAGGGAAAAAAAAAGTGTAACCTTTTTTTTCATGACGTCCAAACTACAGAAGTCACTTGGACCCTCACTGGTTCCAAACCTGAGTCCATCATTAAGTTTGAGCACGAGGTGCCCCAGGGGCCATCCATGATGCAAATGACAATTGCAATGAGACAGGAGAGCTTCACCCACCCCTTGCTCACCGTTGGGACCCTGGGTTTGCGAAGGCTGAAGCCACAGGGCTGGGGCACACAGTTGGGCTCTGCTCCGTGTTCTCTGTACTGACAGGGAGGAGCAGTAATTGAAGATGATGAAACTGTTAGGTTCGTAACTAATTTTCCCAAGCCCTGCACCCACCACCCCTTGTGACTGCCTGGTGTGTTCCTGCCAGCTTGGAACAATGAAAACTGTGGTGACAGATAGAGAACTTATGGCTCTGACATTGTGGTTGAGGAAGAACTTGCTGTCAGTATCATCCGTCTCCGGAAACATTGGCCCTGACATTTTTTAGGCATCGTACAAGAGAAGTGTCACCTGAGAGACTGACTATAATAGCATTTTTAAGAGAATGCTTTGCAGCAGTTACATGCCTTTCAGAAACAGAGGATTTGGGGGAGTGATGGAATCACGTGATTAGAGCCTTTGTCAAAACATGAATTGTTTTGTAAAAGTGGAAAACCAGAGTTTAATTGTATCCAGCCTCCTTCTCGAAGGTCACATTCTGCGTGTGTGTCCACCCAATAAAATGTTTAGAAATATGTTAGTTTAGGGTAATTATGAGGATGATATGATTTTTAGATGTGCTCATTTACAATAGCCAATTTGCTTGATGAAATCTGTATTGGCTGAGTTATAAAGAATACTCTGTAGAGTACTCATTCTATTTCATGATTGTGTAAAAATATTAGGAGGGTTAATTAACTCTAGATAAATTGCTGGTGTTAATAACGAAACAGCACAAATAACTCATTTAAGCATTCAATTTCTCATGCCTTCCTCTGTTGAAGATGAAGGCATGTGAATTATAATGGTGTGAAGTGAAAATAAGCCAAGATTTCTGAAATTAAAGTCAAGAGGGTCAGATTTTAAAAGACCACTTTTAAAAAAAATTTTTATTGTTGTGGTTTAAATGAAGTTTACGTTCCAAGTCAGTCTCCCATACAAAAAGTTGTACATACGTTGTTATGTGACCCTAATTGCTCTCCCCTTACTCTGACAGCACACTCCTCCTTTGCACCCCTGGTACCCCATGTCCATTCAACCAGCTCGTAACCCACTCTGCCTTCCCATCTCACCTCCGGACAGAAGCTGCCCGTTTAGTCTCTTGTATCTACTTGAGCTAAGAGGCACACTCCTCACGAGCATCCCTTTATATCCCACAGTCCAGTCCAATCCCTGTCTGAAGAGTTGGCCTCGGAAATTGTTTTAGTTCTGGGCTGGTAGAGAATCCAGGAGCCATGCTTTCCGGGGTTCCTCCAGTCTCAGTCAGACCATTAAGTCTGGTCTTCTTACTAGAATTTGAGTTCTGCACCCCACCTTTCTCCTGCTCCATCAGGGACTCTCTGTTGTATTCCCTGTCAGGGCGGTCATTGGTGGTAGCTGGGCACCATCTAGTTCTTCTGGTCTCAGGCTGATGAAGTCTCTGGTTTATGTGGCCCTTTCTGTCTCTTGGGCTAATACTTTCCTTGTGTCTTTGGTGTTCTTCATTCTCCTTTACTCCAGGTGGGTTGGGACCAATTGGTGCATCTTAGATGGCCGCTTGCTAAAAGACCACTTTCTTGATAGGACCTACGTCTAAATTTAATGATGTCACCTGAAATAAGGCTGTTGTTGGTAGGTGTCATCGAGTCAATTTTCGACTCATAGCGACCCCAGGTGACAGAGTGGAACTGCCCCATAGAGTTTTCGAGGATGTATATGGGAGCAGATCACCAGGCCTTTCTTACTAGTCTGTCATAATCTGCTGAAACCTGTCCACCATCGGTGACCCTGCTGGTGTTTGAAATCTCGGTGGCATTGCTCCCAGTTTCAGAACAACATGCAAGCCACTATGCTGTTGTTGTGTGCCGTCGAATCGATCCTGACTCACAGTGACCCTGTAGGACAGAGAAGGATCGCCAGGTCTTCCTCCTGCAGAGCCACTGGGGGGGGTCAAACTGCCAGACTTCCGGTTAGCAGCCACATGCTTAACCATTACCTCTCCAGGGCCCCTTCTGAAATAAGGTTAATGCCGGTTTTCAGAAATGAGGTTTCCAGCAGCTTCTTCCAGAGTCACAGCTTCTAAGCAGAGAAACAGGCTAGTAGTTCTTGGAGCTTTGTACCTCACTCAGATTTCTTTGGTTCACTTCAAGTTCTTTGTAAGTTCCTCCTTGTCAACCCAGCCCTGGAAATTTGGAAGTGGCAACTACTAACCAAAAGGTTGATGGTTCAAACCCACCAAGCAGCACCTCAGAAGAAAGGCCTGGTAATCTGCTTCTGCAAATATTACAACCAGGAAAATCATCTGGAGCAGTTCGGCTGTGTAACACATGAGGTCGCCATGCATTGGAATCAGCTCAGTGGCAGTGAGTTTTAGATCCCTGGGTGTCAAAAACGCTTTGTGGTTGGCTACTAACCTAAAGATTGGCAGTTTGAACTGACCCAGTGGTGCTACAGAAGAAAAGCCTGGTGATCCATTTCCATAAAGATTACAGCCATAAAAAAAACTGCGGAGCAATTCTCCTCTGTAACACATGGGGTTGCCATGAATTGGAATCAACTCAACGGCAATGAGTTGTACGTCCTCAGGTGGCATGAACGGTTTGTGCTCGGTGGGGGTTGCCATGAGATGGAACGGACTCAAATAGCAATGGATTGGGTTTTGCTCTCCCTTTGCTCTCGAGAATATGGAAGCAGCACACCCAGAGGGCAGCACCTCGATGGCAACAAACCCTTAACCAGCGGGGGGAGGTGCTCAGCGCTAAGCCAGGCCTGACCAACGCTGGTGACTCTGCTCAGTAGTGGGGCTTTCCGGTGCTACTTCCGAGGACTTAGGAAAGGCAGGTACCTCAGTGCGAGGTACCAAGATTTCCAGCAAAAGCAACTGGAATGGAAGAGAATACAAAAGTGGTTTTGTTGTTGCAAGAAGCCCATCTCTTGCAACGGGGATTTATTTCTGGGGGATGTATTTTGGAAGAATTTTCATACCCCAGCTGTGCCGGATAGAATGACAGGTCGCTGTCCTCTGCGTCTAATTGACAACTGCATGAGACAATTCAGAGTGGCACCATTTTTAGTACAGAGAGGTGGGGAGAGAACCCCACCTTGGAGAGACCCGGGGCAAGGAGGCAGCAAAAGAGTCAGAAAGAATGAGGGGCACAGATAAAGCTTCAGAGTCACCGGCCTGGGTTCAAATCCTGCCTCTTTCTTGTCCTTGGACTAGCTCTGTGACCTTGGCCACAGCACGGTTTCCTCATCTGTAAAATGAGGTTAGAACTGCACATCTTGAGAAGTCAATGAGACAATACACCTGAACCCCTTCCTCTGGGCCCCCCATGTAGGAGGTGCTCAGGAAATGTCAGCTGTTATTACAATACTCATTATATATAGTCACAATATCAATATTGTTATTTTTTTAAAAACCTTCTGGAAAACATTTTTCTGATTTCTTTAAAATCGTGTAGAAAGGACAGGTGTGGAGAGAGTAATAAAGCAGTTGTGTAAAGAAGCATTTTCTAGTCGAACAGTAGCCTAAGAGGGCAGGGTTGTTCCTGGTCCTGCGGTTTCATATTCTGACACCTGTGCTTTGAGGTCCTTTGCCTGCAGTCATTTGGAATGTTCCAGAAACCACTCTGCATTATTCACAGAGGTGCTGAATAGTAAACGCTCCTCCATCAGGTGTCGGAGATGAAAGGACCCAAGAGACCCTCAGCCCTGCCACTGCCCCCTCGCTTCATCCAATCCTGTACTCGCCACCGGCCGCAAAGTTAGACCCTGAGTCTCCCAAGTCCTAGCCCCTGCCCTTCCCAAAACTGGGTATCAGTTAGCTACTCATGTCCTCAGTCAATCTAATAGATTGGTCTGTTTGTGAAACGGCATTTATCGTTTATGGCAGACAAGTCGTGACTATAGGCCTTAGGTGGTTTGGATCTTTCTTAATGGCCTTACTGTAGCATTTGGAATACAGTCTGTTTTCTAGACTAAAAGCTGGAAACATGTTCAGAATCATTGCTACAGATGAGAAAAGGATGCACAAGCCCAAGATCCCCAAATCCTGTGTTCAGACGCACGATGATCTGTGTTGTTTGGTTTCCGTCCGGTCACGTTCATTTTAGAATCCTTTTATAATCCTGAACAATGTATTTCTTTACTCCCAGGTCAACACAAGATAAAGTTCATTCCAGAAATGGTCGGCCCAATATTGGAAATGACGCTGATTCCCGAGACGGAACTGCGCAAGGCCACAATCCCCATCTTCTTCGATATGATGCAATGTGAATTCCATTCGACCCGAAGCTTCCAAATGGTAACGTGACTGTGCGCGGTAACTGGCCTGGGGCGTTGGCGAGCAGACAAGTCTGAAACCTTGAAAGAGACTTCTCGATAGCTCTAGAGTTAAAGGTGTTGAACATGGAAAAGATAATTCTCTACAGCTTCAGAGAGAAAAATCCTATGCCTTTCTTTCCTTGTTGAAGAGGCTTATCATTCTTGGCACGCATCTTTACCAGGGAATTGTTCTCAATGTTTCGCTTTTACTTACTTATTTTTATCTGGATTTACTCAGGTGTTAAACCCTGGCTAAAAGACTCTTTCCTCCTTCCTCAGCATGCACACTTGGAGAGTGTGTACTCAGATGTCACTGCACTTTTTACCATGACTGCTTATGGCACGACTGTTGCCTCGAAGCCTAAAGCCTTTTGCTTTTAAGTTTTTAAGTGTGTGTCTCGGTCCTTTACTTGTGCAATGGAATTAATGAGAATTCCTCAAAAAATAAAAGTATGTTAACTGCTCCAAACATACTGTAATAACGCAAAGGATGAAATCTGAAGAACTTATATGTAGGCAGTAGCACAATCTTCTTCTTCCTGGATTCTGTTATAAGAAGTATAATGTGTATGTATTCGTGGGTGGGTACATGCCCCTACTCACACACGTACATGCATTGGCTTTCTCCTTCTTATACCAGTGGGTTGGCCATAATGCTTTCCAGAAGGCAGAAGGATCTGAAAGGTAGGGCGGTCCTCTGAATTGTTGTTGTGTTAGTTGCTGTTGAGTGGACTGCGACTCACGGTGACCCCAAGTACAGCAGAACAAAGCGCTGCTTGGTCCTGCGCCATCTTTGTTGGTATACTCGAGTTTATTGTTGCAGCCACTGCGTATTTTGAGTGCCTTCTAACCCAGGGGACTTATCTTCCAGAACTATATTGGACAGTATTCTACTGTGATGCATAGGGTTTTCATTGGCTATTTTTTAGAAATAGATTGCCAGACCTTTCTTCCATCTTAGTCTGGAAGCACCACTGAAACCTCTCCATCATGGGTGACCCTGCTGGTATTTGAAATACTGGTGACAGAGTTCCAGCATCACAGCAACATGCAAGCCCCCACAGTGCGACCAACTGACAGACAGGTGGTGAAAATTGAAAACTACCTCTGTGGAAATATTCTAGTAGTTCGAGTAAGTGAATATACTAAGCATTTTCCTTGGATCTTGGAGGAGTTTTGAGAGTTCCAAGACTGAAAAGAACCAAAACTGAATCACGAGGGCGTGATTTTATTTGGGATCTAATGTTTAAATGTGAGTGGTTTCCCTTACCTTCCTTCATACTTTCTCGCTATTGGGAGCTTTGAATAGTTCAGAGATTTTAACTGGCGAGCCTTCGTCATTCTCGCGTCTAGAAGGGAGCTGCGAAGAAGTGCATTGCTACTTCTGTAACAGAAGAGAAAGACGCACGGCTAAAAGCGCTGACGGTGAGTTAGACGCTGAAGTCAGGTAGACCGTGACCTTGTGCAAACCCCTAACCATCTTTAAATCTCAGATCCAGGGCTGTAAAGCGGGGAGAAAAGTAGAACCCACCCAAAGCGAGTGTTGTGAGAATTTAATAGAATCAGCCCTGTAACGCCCGCTCAGCACAACGCCTCTGCCATAAGTGGTGTCTGTTTGTATTGCTCTTATGAGACAAGACTGGAGGGGCAGCGGTGGTCCAGCGGCAGAGTTCTCACTTTCCATGCAGGGGCTCCAGTTTGAGTCCCAGCCACTGCACCTCATGCACAGCCACCACCGGTCTGTTAGTAGAGGTTTGCATGTTGCTATGATTTCACTGGAGCCTCCAGACTAAAGCAGAGTCGGAAGAAAGGCCTGGCGATCTACTGCTGAAAATCAGCCAGTGAAAACCCTGTGGATCACAGTGGCCTGATCCTGTTGGGCGTGGGGTCGCCGTGAGTCGAGGGCTGACTCAGAGGCAGCTAGCAACAGTGACGGCAAAAGACAAGTCAGAGCCTCAGCTTGGATCTGGGTCTTTGCTGAGCGCAGGAGGCAGCCCGCCCCATGGTGGCACTAGTGTCTGAAGTCTCCCCCGGGTGCCAGCACAGTATGCAGGCCTGTGTGTGGATACAGCTTTTATGGATGGCCCCGAAGCCCACACGTGTAATTCCATCTCATGAACTACAAACAATTTCACTAGCCTCAACCCTGACTCACTTGGATGTAGGCAGATAAAAACACAAAACAAGAACTCACAGGTCCGCTAAAAAACGCACAGAAGGCCCCGCACGGTCAGCTGCTTGATTGTGAAAAACCCCAGGCTTTTAAAAGGAAGGTATTCCTCTCTGATCTATTAATCTGTTCGTGTGAACTGGGAAAAGATCCATTTCCTTTTCGGTTGGAATACCTCAACAGTGTTTGTTGTTACTCTCGTACTTCAGTCTACCAGATGAGATACCAGTGCTTGGGGGGCTTTCAGCACCTCACAGCTCATTACCATTCTTCCCAAACCTGCTGCTTCTCCATCATCCCCGTCACTGCCAGCCTCCTGGTCATTTGGTGTTTCGGCTGCAGGTTAAACTGGTCTTTGCTTGCTGTCTTGGCCTCCCTGCCGGTTGGTTGCCAAGACTTGTCAGTGCTTCCTCTCTCTCGTTTCCAGCATCCACCTGGTTTTCTCAATCCCTTTTGCCATAGTTCAGGGTCCTGCAGGATCACAGCATTTGTCCCTCCACTTGCTGTCATCTTCTCCGCTCTTGGTTCAACTCATCTCTGTCGGTCTGGCCCTTGTACACAGTGTTGGTAAATGCTTGCTGAATGGGCTCCTTCTGGAACACGGTGCACTGCGGTCCCTGCCTGCCTCTTCATCCCAAGGAACGTCTAGGATCGGGATGGTTGGCTGCTATTTAACTAATCTGCCACAGATCCAATTATCTAACCTTATTAGTCACATCAATAAGAGTTTAAATTGGCTCTACTTTTGTAGCAGATGTGCAAACCTAATGGAGTGAGTGGAAGGCAGTAGGGTTTTCGTTTCTACAAAACTTTAGCATTTGAAACAGATGACATAGCTTTTTTTTTTAAAGGTTGCCGTTAGGCTGCTAACCAAAATGTCAGCAGCTCGAATCCACCAGCCACTCCTTGGAAACCCTATGGAGCAGTTCTCCTCTGTTCTGTGGGGTAGGTATGAGTCGAAACTCACTGGCCAGCGGTGGGTTTTACGGTGCTGTGTACCTGTCTTAGTTTTTTCGTGCTACTATAGAAGAAATACCAAAAACGGGTAGCTTTAACCCTTTCGTGACCCAATTATTTTTTCCTTTTTTAATTTTTTGTTGATACTATGTGTTTTTAGCAATGGAAGACATGCTGAATCAATGAGTGTGTCTCAATTTTTGGTAGGTAATATAGTTTTTGTTTTATGCCCCATTCCACAAATTGTACCCTCAGAGTACCAAATAACGATTTTCAAAATTCATATTTTTCCTACCAAATTTTCAATAATTCAGAACTACCTTACAGTACCTTGTAAAAACAGTACTTTGGGGCACACACCTGTTTTTAATGTTTCAAACTGTTATATAGGGTCCCGCCTGCCAGTGGCACATTCTGTCAGTGGGACAGAAGCTTCCCAATGAACCCGAGTTACAAAAAGTAAGTGGTAGCTATAAACACTGCTGGTCCTGATTGAAGAACAGAATTTTATTTCCTCACAGTGTAGGAGGCTAAGAGTTTGAATTTAGGGCACCAGCTCTAGGGGAAGTCTCACTCTCGGCCATCTCTGTGGGAAGATCTCTTTCAGTTTCTGTAGCCCCGGCATGCCTGAGTTCCTTGGTGATCCCCACGTGGTACCTGTCTTCCTCCCTTTTCTGCTTGCTTGTCTCTGTCTATGCTGCTCGATTATAATCTCAGGAGTGATTAGGTTTAAGATCCACTCTGTACCCATATCGACCTCATCAACATAAAAAAGAAAACCCTGTTCCCAAATGGGATTACATCCACAGGTGGTGTTGTTGGGTGCCATCAAGTCAGTTCTGACTCACAGCAACCCTGTGTACAACAGAACGCAACACTGCCCAGTCCTGCGCCATCCTCACAATCATTGCTATGTTTGAGCCCATTGTTGCAGCCACTGTGTCAGTCCGTCTCATTGAGGGTCTTCCTTTTTTTCACTGACCCTCTGCTTTACCAAGCATGATGTACTTCTCCAGGGACTGGTCCCTCCTGGTAAGTTGTCCAAAGTACATGAGACAAAGTCTTGCCATCCTCGCTTCTAAGGAGCATTCTGGCTGTACTTCTTCCAAGACAGGCTTGTTGATTTTTCTGGCAGTCTGTGGTATATTCAATATTCTTTGCCAACACCATAATTCAAAGGCATCAGTTCTTTGGTCTTCCTTATTCATTGTCCAGCTTTTGCGTGCATATGAGGTGATTGAAAACACCTTGGCTTGGGTCAGGCACACCTTAGTCCTCAAAGTGACATCTTTGCTTTTTAACACTTTAAAGAGATCTTTTGCAGCAGATTTGCCCAACCCAGTATGTCATTTTATTTTCCACAGGTGTACAGGTTAGGATTCCAACACATATTTTGGGGGGGACTCAATTTAATCCATAACAGTAGGGTGTTGTGATCTCAACAACTCTTCCCGCATCCTGTTTGCATGATGGTGAGGGTTGGTGCTGCATTGGGGCTTTTCCCGTGCCCTCCTAAGGGTTTGTGTTGTGGATGCTCTGAGCAGCCGGGAGACATGAACCTGTGCAGCGTGGATGTGCCCCTCATGAGTGGTCCCCACTCTGCCCTGTGGTAGCCGTCACTGACCCACAGGGACTCCAGCCACCCTGCAGCATTACTCCACGTAACCACGTGACTTCTCTGCCCTGTCCATTCCCAGTCACCACTCAACAAAAGCACATTCCTCATCTTTTCTCTCTCTCCCATTTTCTCCCATTGCCTCCCACGCTCCAGCTGCCCTTCACCGTCCTGATTCTTCTTGCCCTTTCTAAGAGCCTATTATGATTCAGGTCTCCCACCCATTCTCCCAATGCTT